ATAAACCCGATGCGTTTAAACAAAACGATCTTGGCCAGAAATGTTCTAAGAACATTCCGTGCAGACCACAAAAGACTCGGCGAAGGACTAACCTCCCTGTAGTAAACCACCCATTAGTGATAACGGCCTAAGACCGAAACCGACGGACCTGGACCCGCAAAAATGACGGCCGCGACGCCCTCTCGCGAATCGAAAACGGCCACTTCGCTAGTCGACGCGTCAGGTTAGAAGGCCTATCAGCCTCCGGTTCCCTCGCGCCCCCCAACCCGGACCATCAGCACTGGCTCCCGGGCGAAAGACTGGCCCCAGGGGGACGGGGCGAACACGTGTGAGAGCACGTGTTGTCCAGAACGCATGGGCGCCCGAATGATCACGATGTTCATAAACGCACGTGGGAGCACATGCTGTCGAAAAGCGACGGCGGCCGCTGTGGGGCAGGCAGCCTCCCGACTCAACAGATGGACAACGTCTGTGGCGACAAACGCAGCGAGTCCTGCTCAGCATAGACCGGGGGCCTCCAGGGCCGCGGGCTGCAGCGATCCTGTCCTGCCACCGCTCGGGCGTCCACTCCTTCGCGCATCTCTTCGGCTTCGCGCGCGCTTCCTCGGCTCGAGGGCCCAACATGCTCCTCGATGGCGTGTGTTGCATCTTCGGGGGGCCCAATGTGTCCCGACGCGCCGCGATCCACGTCGAATCCGCGTCGAGCGCGTCGAATCCGTGTCGGATCCGAGCAAAGACCACCATTGACAGAACAGGAAAAGTCCCCCGACGATGCAAAGTAAGCCGGCCCTCGCCGAGTTGCAATCTGCATGTGGCCAGGTCGTGATCCTCGCCCTCGCTGGGGAACTGCGCAGTTACGACGAGTAGTCTGCATTGGGGCGGGTCGTGATCCCGACCCCGTCTTCGTCCGCGCGGTACGGCAGATTTGCGTCGTGTCGACCCCGGCGTTGGTTCCTGACACCGCGGGGATCGTTCAAACTTGAACGATCGGCCCGATCGGCCCTTTCAAAAAGGCCGGGTTCAAGGATTGGCCGATTCTGGGCCACAGGCGGCATTCAACCTTCAACGCCCGCGCTGGGGTCGTCGCCGGTCGACACGACGCGAAGCTGCCGTAGGGTCAGGTCGGGCCTGTCCCCCTACAGGGGGATTTGGGGCGACAAATAGAGACACTCCAAAAATACCCCCAAATGGTCCAAACATAATCAACAAGTCGTCCCCTGACTACTTTTTGACTATTCTGGAAGGTCCCCCCTGGAGAGGGGCAGGCCCGACGTGGCCGCAGGGAGGCTCCTCGGGGGCCCGCGCCGGGGCGGCAGCAGCAAAGAGGGCACGCGCCCACGAGCGGGGCCGAGCTGCCGGCGGGCGTCGGGGGGTCGGCGGGGGGGTCGGGCGGGCGGGCCACGGCCCCGCGCCGCGGTCTCGTACGTCCCCCCCCCCCAACGGGCAGGTTCTGCGAGAAGAAGAGGCAATAGCCGACCAAGAGTTAAGCAGAGTCGAACAAGGACCAAGCATAGCCAACAGCCATTACATGATCACGGGCAGGTCCCCCCTACGGGCAGGTTCTGCGAGAGCAAGAGGCAATAGCCGAGCAAGAGTTAAGCAGAGTCGAGCAATGACCAGACACAGCCAACAGCCAGATACATGATCACGGGAGGAGGAGGAGGAGGAGAACACTAGCCAAACAATGGCCAACGACCACGAACAGAGAGCCGCACCATAACCAAACGTAGTCAAAAGAGCACGGAATGCCGTCCCCAGATTACGTTTCACTACTCTTGAATATTCCTCCTGCTTCTGTAGAGGGACATGCCCGACTTAACGCTACCGGGGGGGGGAAAAAGAGAGAGAGAGAGAGAGAGAGAGAGACGTCCATGCCGCACCAAGTCCCCGCCCCCCAGACCTCCTCGCGCCGCAGCAGCAAACGGCACGGCACGGGAGAGGTGAGGAGGAGACCTGCTCAGAAGGCGGCGTGGCTTCTCAGAAGGCCTCTGGCCTTCTGAGAAGCGCTCAGTGCCTTCGGGGGAGGCTTGGAACACTTCTCGGGAGGCTGGGGTTTCCGAGCCTTCTGAGAAGGCCTGCCCCTTCTCGCTTCCTCCCCCGGCTCGCCGCTGAGTAGCAGCAAAAAGGACCGCGGGAGGCGTTCGAGACCCCTTCTCGGCCTCTGGGAGCCCTGACGGGGCACCGGGGCGGCAACAGGGAAACCCGCGGGGATCGGCGCGGAGGCTGCTGAGGGGAGATAGGGGGGTTATCAGTGGATGCCACGGTGGGCTACACGTCGTTCATTTCTAATCGTGTTCATTTCTAATTCTGCTTTTCCGATTGTTCCTGGCCCCCCAGTGGCCAGGAAGAGGCCCAGGATAGAACAATCAGAAGTGAAAGGATCTTCGCCCCCAAAAAATCAAAGAACTCTCGAATAATTAGGCATGAACGATGTGTATGTTTGGCCTGAGCTAGCTCAGAGGTGGGCGTGGGCCAAACTTGCCCCGCGCAGCGGCTCCAGAGGATCAGATCCCACCGCGAAGTGGGCGGAGCCCCCTCGGCCCCGGGTCGCCAAGCCCCCTCCGCCGCTCAGGGCAGGTGCTTGCCTTGGGCCCAGCGTAAGCCAAATCTGACCCACCTTGGCATCCACTGACTGAAAGGGAACTGGGACACACAAATAAATACACACAAATAGAAATATCCCCAATATTTTCCCTTCAGGGTGCCCCTGGGGTCAGGACTTTAGGGGGGGCGCTAAGAGGACTCAGTTGCAACATCGCCTTGGTAAGTCAAGATGCATCTTGATGCGGGGGTGGTCGCCGTCAACTTGTCCGTCGGCGACCGCGAAAACGCTGACGAACGCGAGCGCTCGGGACAACCGAAAGCACGTCTGCAGAAACGCACCCACAACAGCCCAAACGCGTCCTGGGCCATGCAGTGCTACGCTGTGCTCTCATTCGTGCAACGGCTTTACTACGGAAGGCTACGTGGCCGTGGCATGACCTGCGATTGCAAAGTTGCTTTGGTGTTCCAAGACCATGTTAGAATCACGCAATGCGGCGGCTATGATAACGGCAACGCGCGCCGCCATGCAATGCTATGCTGAACTACCAACGATGCATGCAACGCAATACAGAGCAGTAGCGGTGGTTGACATACGCGTAGACGATCTCTCCATAACACACACACGTGGCAAGACCACACTGTCGGCCTCACTACTGCACGCTGCTCCTCAAGCCTCCTCTGCCTCCTCCCGTCTGCCCTATTTTGTGCTCTGCCTCCCTCTTTGTCTGCTTATTCGTCCTCCTCCTTGCCCCCATGGTCATTATCATCCTCCTCCTCCTCCTTCTCCTTCTCCGCTGAAGCTTTCCTTCATTCCGAGCTCGGCCCAGCGCAATTTCACCGCGATCCCCCCGCGCCACTGATGGCCGTTCTCGTCGGCACGGGTGGCGCCAGCGTGGAGAGAGAAACGGAGACGAAAGTGGAAACCGCTACGGTCCTCTACCCCCCCCCCCTCCCCCTCCTGATCCACCTCGTCCTGCTGCCCCGCATCCTCATCCAAACCACCGCCACCCTCATCCCTCCGCCCCCTCCGCCCCCCTGCCCACGCAACCCCAGAGGGTACGCGCCCCCCCCCGACCCAAGATAACATGTGCAAAAGTATGTTCGCCCCCCCTGAGATCTGAATGACTGTATTCAGAGGCCCCCGTGGAAAAAAAAAAAAAAAAATAAGGAAAAAAAAAAAAAAAAAAAAAAAAAAAAAAAAAAAAAAAAAAAAAAAAACAAAAAAAAAAAAAAAAAAAAACAAAAAAAAAAAAAAAAAAAATAAAGAAGAAAAAAAAAAAAAAAGAAAGAGAACATAAAAAAAAAAAAAAAAGAGAAAAAAAAAAAGAAAAAACAAAAGGAAGAAAAAAAGAAAAAAAATAAAAAAGCAAAAAAAAAAAAACAAAAAAGAAAATAAAAAAAAAAAAAAAAAAAAAAAAAAAAAAAAAAAAAAAAAAAAAAAAAAAAAAAAAAAAAAAAACAAAAAAAAAAAAAAAAAAAAAAAAAAAAGAAAACAAAAGAAAAATAAAAAAAAAAAAAAAAAAAAAAAAAAAAAAAAAAAAAAAAAAAAAAATAAAAAAAAAGAAAAAAAAAAAAAAAAAACACAAATAAAAAAAAAAAAAAAAAAAAAAAAAAGAAGAACTGACAGGGCACCCTTCTGCCAGAAACGGGCCTCGCAAAACGCGGGGTGGGGCACCAGGGCGACAAGAAGATGCCCCGCTAGAAAACGTCGCGTGTCGCAATTCGGGCGACATCTGTGCGCGGCCCCTGAAGGCCACCGAGGGGGGGGAGGGTTGGCAGGCCCCGCCATATTTCTCGCGATGACCCCTCGGCCACATATTAGCTCCAGCCTAACACACACCGTCGCTCAACCCAATTTGCACTACGGCCTACTTCTCTGGGGATGAGGGCACTGAGTTGTTGAAGGAGGGGGGGGGGGGGGTAGTCGACGCTGTAACCACTCGACGCCGTGGCAAGCTCTCGCACAGACTGCATGCGCTTGCCACGGCCCAACACTAGACAACCTGGCGGGGTGCATCCGGATAAAACGTCGGGCACGCACATCGCGAGCGCGACGACGCTTTTTGGTCCCGTGGCGGTGCGAAGCGGGGCTACACACCTCAATATCGATCCAACGCCCGCTAAAGCATCGCGCAACCTCCTCAAACGCCGGCCCCGAGAATCCCCTGGGTAGTGCAAGCGCCACCGCACTTGCGATGCACGAACCCTTCGCCCCTTCAGGATGCACCCCTGGTAGCACTGCCGTGCAGTGACATGGCTGACACGCGTGATCACATCAGCTGTTTCGAAGGTTGCCAGAAGCTGTTTCGAAGTTGGCCCAAAGCTGCCTCAAACATTAAACTGCGTGCTTTTCATGACGCGTGCCATAAATCCATGGGCTGATCGATGAAACTCCCGAGGATTGCTGCCGATGTGATCGCAGGTCTTGCGAGCCCAATTGTAAAACTCGACGGCGGCTACGACGAACGCCTGCCGATAGGCAGGCGCGCCAACTTCGCCTTCTTGGCGGGCGGGCCTGCGTCGGCCGCCGCTGACTCCGACACCGACGGGGGCCCTGCCGAAACGGATGGCGAGATGCCAGCCGCTCCCTGGCGCGGCGCTGCAGTCGTAGCCGACGCCGACGAGGAAGCTGCCGACGCGCCGCTCGCAGAGGCGGTGCCGCGGATCTTGGTCAAGCTCTGCGCCTCGAGCTTCAAGGCGGTCGGGGAACGAAGGGGCTCCATCGGCGCCGAGGCGCCGTCCTCGACGCAGGCCAGCTCTGCCCAGAAGGCATTCGGGAGATTGATCTTTTTGTCGGCCTTGTGCTTGGCTTTGAACTCACGGGCCGCCTTCGATGACGCTGGGCCCTGCGACTGGAACCTCAACAAGTTCACGCCCTGGATGAGAACTGAGGCCTCGTAGAGGTTCGCGAGGGTCTGGGACGCCACGGCGACGCCAGACATCGTCAACGGGTTGTGCTGAAGGGGGGGCGACAGCTCAACGCGCTTGGAGGCAGTGTCAACTTTGGAAAGCACACCGAACAACGCGTTGTAGCTTCTCACGACGTTCGCCAGCTTTCCGTCCAACAGGTCGACCGCCATCGCCAAGTTGAACGAGTTATCTGTGAATATGGGCTGCCAAAGCGGGAGATCGGCCCTGCATTCCAGAACGCTCTTGGCGAGACCAGCCATGCGCAACTCCATGATGTCATCTCGGCATCTCCTCGTGAACGTTGCTACCTGCGTGGCCCACTTCCCCAGACAATGCACAGGGATCCGCATGCTGAAACCGTCGAGCTCCATCTTCCTCGCAGCCTCGCCCGTGACGAAGGTATCGATCAGCTTCAGGCGGTCGTACATCAGCGACAAGGCATTCACATGGATGTTCGAGACTGGGTGGTACTGCGCCTTAGCAAGCTCCACCTCCTTGGCAACCTCACCGTCCATATTCACGAGGTGGCGCTGAAGTGCAATGGCCATCATGACAAGGTCCCTCACTGCAGTCATCAAGTCGAACACGAAAGCCGCCACCTCGAATGGCACGGCGTGGTCGTTGCCCTTTCGGCACAGGTCGGGGGAGGGGCGCGGTAAATCACGAGCGCTCACCGCTTGAATGTGGCAAAGGGCCACGGGTATCCGACACCGCCCCTGGAAACTAAACTTGCGGTGGCGCTGCGAGTTTCCGTTGCCAGCCCCCCCCGCCCAACCCTTCAGGCCTGCTCGCCATCTCGCATCACCACGCCGGCGGCCTGGATCACGCTCATGTTAGTAGCAGCGGCGAACTCCTTGAGCGCACTCAGCGTTCTGTGGTGAACCAGCTCGTCGAATTGGTCGCTGTCGGCCTCCTCCAGCTTCAGCATCGCCTCGATGTCGCCTGGAAGCGCGTCGTTGACGCCAGGCTTGCGAATGAGGCGCCCTCGCACGTGGGCGCGGTCGGTGGACTCCAGCACGTCATCCTGGACCACGGCGACCTCGAGCTCGCTGAACCCCAACATGGACATGACCGTAGGAGATATCCAGATAGATGCGATCTGATCGTAGACTGCGTCGGCGACCTGCGCCTTAAAGCCGAAGAATGCAACGCTGATATCATTGAGAACGGCTGCGTCGTCGACGGAGCTGGTGCCCATGAAGACGATCTCGGTGATGCCCGCGAGCTCGTGCTGGAGTCGAGCCATGGTGATGGCGTAGTCCCTGAGCGATGCATCAAACTTGGTTGGGCCAAACAGCTCTGCTCCATCCGATTTTGTCAAGACAGCTGAGATCTCGACACACGCCTGCATGTAGTCAACCATGTCCTGGACCATCTTCCAGTTCCCGTTGAGGGCGGCCGCCACCTCCGTCACGGAACCCAGCGAGGCGATCATCTCTGCGAACTCTGGGTCGCCCCTCCGCTGCGTCAGCGCGTCGATGCACTTCGAGATCCCCTGCAACAGCTGCTGCAAGCCAGCGTGGTAATCAGTTCCGCTCTGCTTGACCGTGCGCAGGCCCCCCAATACTAACATCACAGGGTCAGTGCGGTCGGGGCGCACTGCGTCAAGCTCAAGGCCTTGCTCGGAATCGGCATTCTCGCTGCCCCTCGCTGGCTGTGGCTGGTCTCCGAGTGAAAGGCCTGCTGAGCCATCCCGTCCAGCGCCGCCGTCGCAATCTACGCCCCCTGCTGAATCCATAGCTGCTCGGTCGGCAAGAGCGCGGGACAATGGGCGGCAGACGAGCTTGTGGAAAGTTGACATGACCCCATACACTCCGCATGACACCAATTCCAATGCGTTGGCGATAGCTGACGTGATGGAGTCGAGGTTGTCGTTCATGGCTGCGACTGACCACCGCAAGGCCGAATTCATGATAGCCACAAGGAGGTCGTTGATTGGCAAGAGCCTCTTCAGGAGGATCGAGTACGTCATGGTTGCGTGGACATCGTCGCTCTTGTCGGGCTCGTTAATGAATAACTCCATGTCGGCGTACGCTGTTTCAAAATTGGTCTCGAAATTGGCGCAACCGCTCTCGAAAATCTTGCTCGCAGCGTCGTCCTCAACCCCTCGGGGCGCATGCCTCCGAGCGACCTCCATGATGTAGATGGAGGGCTTGTAGCCGATCATCAGCTTGCAAAGGTCCTGAGCCACCTGCCCGATCTCGTCCGAACCCTTCCCAACAGAATTCGCATGGATAAACTTCCGCGCAGCACGAACATCCGAAGTCGGCGGCTTGTCCTTCTCGTTCTCGCGGACGCATTGGGCAACAACCTTGATGCTACACAACGCCGTCTCGATCTGGCAGGTGTCTATCGTCTTAGCACGGTCAGAGAACAATTTCACCCACGCTTCCCACACCTCCTCAGTCTGCTCCGCGACGCCGATGAGCATGCCATCTTTGATAGTGTCCCCAGTGGCGATTGACTGCCAGAAATGCTGCAGAGCGCTGTGCACCATTATGCCGAACTGCTTGGCCACGGGAAGAGTGAGGTCAACAACGTCATCGATGAACTTAACTTTGCTCTTCTTGCGAGCCTTCGCGGCTGGAGCCGACGACTGGGCTTCACCGCCATGATCAGCAGCGCCCTCTGCCGCCTCCACCTGGGCCGCCGCCAGCTCCTCCCCTTTCTTCAAATACTCCACTGCGTGCTCGTGAACCAGATCCAGCCCTTGGAGGCCGCAGCGCAACATTGCCTCCACGAATGCGAAACGGACGCGTGCCCGACCGAAACTGGAACTGCCGCTACCTCCCCCCCCCCCACGCCATCAGGCGCACTCGAACAAAAAACGCCACCACTCTGGACCCTGGACGGCCCAACCCAGGACACCTGGAAGTGCTGGGTTGGCAGCCCCAGTTTCGGTATCGAAGCACCGTTCGCTTCGCATTCCAATCGCCTTGGCAACCGACGAGTCCTGCAAATAAGCATTGAAGAACGCTGCCTTCACTGTCGCGAGCGCGACGGGTGGCGCCAGCTCGTAGCCCGACGCCTTCAGGTACATGAGCAGAGCCTTCATGTGCGGCAAACACTCGACCAACTTGTCGTCAGTTCTCACCTGCGCCCACGTGGTGAAGGCCTTGTTGACGTGCAAGAGGGCTTTGACACGCTCCTGGAGCTGCTTGAAACAAACCTGGATATCCAACGTTGCCTTCCCAACGATCTTCTCTTCGTGACCGTTGAGCCGTCGTCCTAACGCACCAATCGTGGCTGCCTTGAACCCCCTGTGCCACTCGAAGGCGGCCAACGCTTCGACGTACGAGTTCACCGTCGTCCTGATGCGCCCGAGGTACTGGTACGTCAGCCCCTTGGGAAAGTCCTCCTTCATGGACAGAGGCGTGGGCTCGCACTGGTACAAAGCTGGGTCCAACAAAGTCGGGATCTCGCCCTCCTCGCCGCCATCGAGAAGACGCGCTGCGTACCCGGCCTCCTCGGGCAAGACAGCGGCGGCAACCCCACTGCCGCTGGCACTCCCACCCTCTAGCTGCTCGACCTTCATCTGCGGATCTGTCAAGTCGATCAACGACACCGTCAAGTTGGACACCTCTGGCATCGCGGCGCGGCACGCAGCGTCAGCCTGTGCAACCGCAGCGGCCTGCTCGTCATCGCTGCCCTCGCGCTTGACGGCCGACTCGCCCGCCACCTCGCCATCGTTCTCGTTGGTCGGGCTGGCCTCAAACCACCCAGAGTGGCGATCTGGGTCCATCTCTGGCGGCAAGGTGATCATCCCGACGTTGAGCGCACTCAGCGGCTCGCGGGCGCCGTCGCCGCCGCTGGGGTGAAGCTCCTCCTTCACAGCAAGAGGCATTGTGCGTCGGGCAGCTCGCTCCCCTCGACAGGTGGCCCTGGGAAGAGCCAGTAGCAGGCATGAGCCTTGAGCCGAAATAAGGTTTACGGTTTGATGTTTGACCATTTCTGGCCTGCTGGGGGCCGCATGGTTTCAGCTCGGCGTTGTTGGATCCGTCGTTGTTGTTGTTTGCCGTGGCCCGTTCTGGCCTTGATTGGGCTGGCGTCTGCTGGCCTTGGTGTATATAGGCCCACCTGGGAGGCCACATGAAATTTGCCAATGCCGTTATTTATGATGTTTAGTTTCCGTGAGTCGATTGTGCTTTCAATCGCATTGGGAACCCCAGTTTGAAGGACTGTTTCAGACCTGCGTCGCATTAATTATTAATTGCGACATCGCATTGCAACCCCTGGGGTCGCATGTTGGGCGTCTCCGAATGCGTTGTTTCACGTGCCCCATGCTGTGCTGCGCTGCGTTGTGTCATCGCACGGGGAAGCCAACGGTCCCAGCGTCGTTTCTGGATGGGCGTGCCCTTGAGGCCGCGGCTGGACCTCGGCGGGGCGCTCAAGCCCGCATGGCGCCTTTTTCTTCGGAAGCAGGCGCCCCAGAGCTCAAGACCAATACTGAGATCAATCACAACACTGCGGGACGCCCCTCATTGCTGAGGAGAGCACGCGGGCACCTGCACTGCTGGACAAGGCAGAGCGAAGAGACCGACGTGACGAGACTGACAAGGCTGATGATGATGAGGAGGGGCCGAGGCTCCTGAGGCGTGTTCGACCAAGCGCCTCCGCGAGCGAAAACAATATCCAAACGAAGAGTTGGCTGAGGAGACTTAAACGTCTTCACGATGCAAGCCATGCTGGAGGCGTTGCTCGAACAAAACTGCAAACTGCCGCTGTGCCGCCAGCGCACGTTCAATCTGAAGCACTCGATGATGGGTGGTCCTCGGAGTCGACTTCCAGGGGCCGCGCGTCCTCATGATCGCCCTGCTGCTGTGCCTGCGGCTGCGCCGCCTGGAGATCGATCCTCCTGATGTCGCCGTGCGGCGTTGCTTTGACCTGCAGGTGCTCCCCCCTCGCGGCGACGTTCACATCTCTGCCGCGAATCTCGGATGCCGCTGTTAGCACGGGGGCTCCTCCCCCCTCCTCCTCCTCCTCCTCCTCCTCCTCCTCCTCCTCCTCCTCCTCCTCCTCCTCCTCCTCCTCCTCCCCACCCCCTCCTCCGCCTCCTCCTTCTCGTCCTCCGCCGCCTCCTCCTCCTGCTCCCGCCCAGAGAAAATAATATGGCGGTCCTTGATGGTCCTCGCAGGAGATCCCTGCTTGCGCTTGGCCTTGAGCTTCACGATGCCTGGGATTATGATCCCGCGCTTCTCGCCGCTGAGCTGCTGCTTGGTGACGGTGCGGAGCGCGGCCAGCGTGCGAGCCACGTCGAAGTAGCGCACCTCGGAAGGAGGGACAGCCCACGAACGCACGCGCTGCCTGCCAGTCGCATCGTCTGCCTTCGAACGAATGTTCGACGTCGGACGATGCGACTGGCAGGCAACAGCTACAGCAGCGGCTGCAGCAAGGATGTGCGCACGCATCACGTATCCCTGGCACCCTTGGCGGAGAGAGCCCCAAGACGGAGCCCACGTTCTCCGTCTCGTCGGACACCAACTGCGCCAGGCGCTGGGTGTCCACCGACAAGCGGCTCAGCGGCAAGGTGCGCGGTGGATGCGGTGGCGCGGCTGCCTCGGCACCTGCCCCGTCGGCCTCGCCAGCCGCCGCCGCCGCTGCTGGGGCGGCAACATCAGCCGCTGGCGCCGCCATCTCGGCCCCGAATCCTGGGCCGCCCGCCACCGACGCAGCAGCGCAAGCTCCCTGGAGCGCCCGAGAGATGGAAATCTCGGGCCTGGAAGCTCTGGGGAAAAAACTCGTTCTCCTCCGCCCCCCCCCTCCTTCGTCCCGCCATCCCTTCCTCCACCCGCACTGTCGCAATATCACGACGTTGTATCGCACGTGGAGCCGCGACATGGCAAACACATGCGAACGCTTCGACATGACATGCGCATGGTATCAGAACATGGAATGCACATGCACACGATGCAGCGCACAAAGACCAGCACCCATAACCTACAGAATGTGTTACCAAACCTGGTACATAATACACTAATAAACACGGAAGCCAGCATTGACGGAATTACGACGAAGGGGGTGGATGCATTTGGGACCGAAGAAACGCAATGCGACAAGGTAGGCGGTCTGCAAGACCATCGTAGGCAGCAGGTGGCAGCGGCTCCGAGGTATACCGCGATGCACACGCCGCAACGGTGCAAGGCTGCATGCGTGCCTCAACGGGCGCGTGCTTGCGTTTTTTTTTTTTACAGCCGTTCTGGCAAGAGGCGGGCGCACGCGCGCCTGTTCTCAGAATGGTTCACCATTCCGCCGCGCACCCAAATGCACAGCCAGGCTCACAAGCTGGGCGCGCAGCTAAGATGTTCGGCGGCGGCGCAGCAGGATAAGTGACGCCCCGCCACGGAAAGCGCGCACCGCTAACTAAGTGGACCATCCGATCGCGCGCTTGGTCGGGAGAAGCGCTCGCTGCGGGGTGCGACAGCAAGCGCGCGCCGTAAAGATAACGCTCGCGCTGCGGGCATGGCCCTGCAAACCCGAACGCTGCGGCGGGCAAGTGGCGCGCGCGCTACTCAACGACGCTCGAACAATTCGGCGCACCCGACTAAACCGCCCGCGCGCCCCACGCCCCTTTGAATGATGAGCGTAGCGCAGCCTATCTCCGAGCTACCTTCACACCGCAGGAGGAGACGAGCGGCGCAGCTTACATCGGATGCCGCGCGCGCGCTCGATCGGGCGCGCGCATGATCCACGCGCGCGGAAGCACGCCAAACAACGACAACGCGAGCGCGAGCGCGTAAACCCGCGCGCGCTTTCAATGGAGTCCACGCCACCAAAGGCAACGGTGGCCAACCGATGCCAGCGTGCTTCGCCAGCTGACATGGCCAAGGGCGCTGCATCACGCGAGCGCCTGGCTGGCGACGGCCGCATCACGGGCGCGATCGTTGATGCATGACGCCTATGTGTCAAAAGAAGACTGGGCATTTGCAAAGACCCCCTCCCTTCCAACGCGCCGCCGCCGATGCCGCGCGCGCATCGGGTCGCCCCGCGCGCGCCCATCACCCGCTCGCCCATCGACCATCACCGTTCCCCCCCACACGCACACACACACATGCACACACACACACCACAAGCACACGCGCGCGCGTGCAGCACGTGGGCGCACGGGCGCCACCGCACACGCGTGCCCCATCCATTCCCAGCCGCGCGCGCGCGCCACCACCGCCATCGCAACGCGCGCCACGCCCACTTTGCAACGGCTAGAAAATTGCAACCGCGACGCTCCAATCTGCAAGCGACGGTCGAACCGACGGTCGGCAAGCGGACCAGCTTGGCCCACCCAACGCCAAGCAAGCGAAGCTGGCTCGGTCGGTCGACTTGCAGGAACTCGACCGACGACGCTCGGTCAATTTGCATACCCGTAGCCGCAGGATTAGAACGTCAACATGCCACGTCAACTTGTCGAGTCGACTTGCGACGTCGACATGCAACGCCGAATCGAATTGCCAAGTCGACTTGCCGAGTCGACGTGCGTATACGGGCCGCCCAAGTCAACCCGCGAGATCGACATGCAAAGTCGACATGCAAAGTCGACTCGCGCTGGCGAGCCGATTTGCAAAGTCAACATGGAAAGTCGAATTGCTTTGTGAAGTCGGCTCGGCTTGCGAAGTCGACTCGGCTTGTGAAGTCGACTCGACTTGTGGAGCAGAAAATCTACACAGGTCAAGTTGCACTTGCAAGGGCGGCGAAACGGTAAGTCGACTTGCACTCGCGAAGTCAAGTTGCGGGCGCCAACGCAGGCATTGGCGAGCGAAATGGTTGCACCGCGAAGCAAATCCAAGTCCCGTTGTGCTGCCAAGTTGCCGCTGAGCCAGTCGGCCTGCCAAATGACAGGGCCGTCGGGCCATCGCCCATGGGGCGCCGCGCTCGCGCGCTCGGGGTGGCGCACCGAGCCTTGCGACTGCTCCGACGCCGCCGCGTGGCAGTGGCGGTCGGTGAAGCGCATTGCGCTTCGGGGAATCCACGCAATGCCTGCGAGCTGCGCGCCCTGATATGGCGTCGCAAGCCGAGAGGCCGCCGCAGCGCACAGGGCGGCAGAGGCCCGCGCAGAACCGCGCGCCCCGAGCGCA